AACAACTAGCTGTGGCATGCTTTATTTCTGCCAAAAAGTTATTATTTATGGTGTTTTTCATGTTTTTCTGTTCAACGTCGACCCACGTTTAGGAACGAAAATCGAACGAATCGAGTTGAAAATTTTTCAAGGAAATAACTAAGCAAACATTTTCAACTGGATTCTTTCGATTTTCATTCCTATACGTGGGTCTATCTTGAACGGAAAAAAGTGAATAACTACATAAATAATAACTTTTTGGCAGAAATAAAGCATGCCACAGCTAGTTGTTATCATTTATTAATTAAGTATCTATATCAGATAACATTTACTGGTGAATTAAGCAAAAATTTTGTCCTAATGTTCGATTTTAGTTCCCAAAAATAACCCATGTATAGCTACCTGTCGATTGTTTTTGGGAACCGAAATCGAACTTCTGCCAATTAGTTTTGCTGTATTCATCGATAAATGATAACTGATGATGTAGATTAACCAATAATTGATATAAAGAGCTCCCGCTTGCTTTATTTTTGCCATAAAATTATTATTTATGATGTTTATACGTTTTTTTCAGTCAAAGTCGACTTATGTACAGGAACTAAAATTGAACTTTTGCAGACAATTTTTGATTAATTCATCAATAAATGATAAGTACTTGATATGTTAGATTATTCAATAAATGATCTAAATACGCATTACGCTTTTTTTTTGGTATGTGAGATTTTAAACAAAAAACGTTATAGGAACAATTAATTACTATTATTTGACAAAAATCAGGTAACGAAAGCGTAATTTGTTTGCTTTTTTATTGGATTACGCGCAAACAATCCAAAAACTATAACGTTCTTTTTTAGTTCTATCAATTTGGTTCATCGCGTGTACTTTGAAATTTGAAATTTTGTATTAGGAGAGCATAAGTTACGTAAGATCTTTTACGTAAAATTCGCGGGTTTCTGAAAATTTAGTGTTATTATTACTGTTTTAGATTAAGTTGCGTTCAATTATACTGAATTCAATTTAATCTTGATTTTTGAAGTGATTCAAAATGATAATGCAAGCTCATGGGGTCTCGGAATGGAGTGCAAAGACAGGAATAGGCGTTAGAATCTTTGATTGTAACAATTTATGAATAATATTTAAACGAAATACGCAAATTTATAAATTTTTCGTAATTGAATGTAATCGAATACTGCAAAATAAAATGGCTGTTGTTTGTTTACAAATTAACCCGTCTATTATTAAAGATACAACTATTAAAAAGTAAGTCTATTAAATACAATCAAAGTATTTCACTCAAAATAAATATTTAAAATGTGACTTATTCTGCGTAAGGAATTAGAAATATAGATTTTACATACCTGTAGGCAGCTGGTTCTCGAAGGTGATCCAGGATCCAGTACTTATACAATTTGGACAATAAAATGAATTTAATAAGGAAGCTCATCAATTAAAAGTTAAATTCTGTGATCATTTTGCATGGAATTCCTACTTTATTGTGTATTCTCAAGGAAAATTAGAAACCAACTTCATTCATCCGAATGCACAATTTTTAGGGCTGTAATTTCTTTCTTTAAAGGTAAATTGTAAAACCATTGCAATAATTGAGTTCTAGGTGTGTTTTTGCATGGAGTTATGTTTTCAAGTTGTCAAGAAAGTAAAACTACAGCTAAAATTCTGAATGCAAGTATATTTTCGTCCAACGTCATATGCCAGGGGGCTGCAACTTTCTTAATTGAAGTTAAATAGTAAATATGCTTTCAGAATTGAGTTTTGGAAGTCTTTCTGCATGGACCTGTGTTTTTGGGTTGCCCAAGAGACTATTAATACAATTAAATATGAGAATGTTGGTATATTTACCCCAATGTTATATGTTAAGGGGCTACAACTTCTTTATTTTAACTGGAATTCTAAATATGCCTTCAGAATTGTGATCTAGAAACTTTTATATATGGAATTGTGTTTTTGGGTTGCATANGTTTATAGAAAAATGCCGAGTGTTATTGTTTGTGACTCTATTTAGAAATTGCGATTAAGCAATAAAAAAAATGTTGACCTGTCTTTTTTTGTCGTATTTCCGCATTGGATGTTGCAACGTAATCATTCATTTATTTCCATTTTGTTAAATGCAGCTACAGTGGTTATAGAAAATGTTTAAATTGTTATTTTTTATCGTTTTTTCGGTAAAAGTTCTTGCCGAGGAATCGGTTTACGTAATAAATGCACGGAAGGGGTTGCATGTGGTTAGTGATAAATTTTTAAGTTTTAGTATAGACCCGGGGGTTCTTTTTTCAGAAAATAGCAACAATAAAAGGTATGTAACAAATAAATAGTCGACATATTATAAAGGATATACAGCAGAAAAATCAAACACTGATCTGGTATTTTTCTTTCAGTTATTCATATTCTTTTGTAAAATACTTAGGTCCGTCGTACGTTCTTTTTTCTGGCCCTTCGACTAAATTTATTACATTTTCTGATAAGGAAATCTTATATCGTTCCACTGGGATTTCCCATTTTCTACGTAAATTTGAAATAAGTCCATCAACGTGGAAAAAATTCAACTCATGGCTTCAAAACGTTGGATTTGTCCCAGTTTTTTCGCTGAACGATAACGAAAGAAATAACGGCTTGTGGAATGCCAAAAATTATCTTTCTTTGTTTAATTTGACTGATAAATTGAATATAAGTTGTATTTGGCAAATAGAGTCAGGTAAGAGTACACTGAAGTATGTTTAAAAGACTTTTTTTTCCAATTAATTTATAAGTGCCTATTTTGACAAAATTCAATTCTAAATCGTAAAATAACTTTCAGAAAATAAGGATAAAAGCATTCACGAATATATCCAGGACTATTCGGTTTTGCGTAATACCATCGCTACTTTTCCTAATTCTAAAGATAACTGGAAAATTGGAGCCAATAATTTTACTAATTATTTAATAGACAATAGCAGTGTCGAAAATGTTCGTAGTTTTATAAACCAACTAGCTGCGGTTTCTGATGTTGGAATTAAGCAAACGTTAGTTAGTAACAACTATATAAAATTATTAGTTAAAAAACTATTTGTTTCTTTATTCATTATAGAAATAATGTACAAGAAAATGGTCTTTCTCTGACAGAAATTTTTTCAAAAATTCACTACAAGTATCCCATATGGAATATTTATTTACATAAGAGAACTCCTGAAAATTTTGCTTCAGCAATAGCGCTGGCTATTGAGACAGGAAATGCAGCTAAAATGGGTTATGAAGTGCTGTTTAAGCAAGTAGACCTTAACGAAAGACTTTCAGATACACCTGTAAGCAATTTTGTCTTTCTGTTTTGTTTTCTTTCTTGAGTTTGTTTGTTCTCGCTTTTGTTCTTGTCTTTCACTGTTTTTCGTTTTTCGACTTTTTTTCGTTTAAAACAAAACATTTAATGTTATCTTGTTTTAGGTCTTTTGGTTTTCTTTCCTGCACAAGCATCTGATGGGAAGAAACGTGTTAGACGTAAAATATCCACACTTAACTTCCGATGTTTTTGCTTATACACATTGTACTAAATTACAAAGTGCATACTCAAAAACTGGATCAATCACAGTTCTTGCAATAAACAATAAAACAAAAGAGCAACATATTTCCTTAAAAATTCTGGGTTCCATTAATTTTCGAACCACACAAATCGAAAGCTACGTTCTTTCAACTTCCAATGAAAATTCAAAGTATGTTTATCAAAAATTATAGTAGATACACTAACTGTTTTTTAAAAATTTTCTAGGGACACTTATTTTAATGGACACAAAATTTTATTCAGCTATATCAATACTGGGAAATTTTTTCTTAAGCCTGACATTAAACATAATTTGGGTTTTCGAAACGTTGAAGTAAATTTACCACCGAAATCTATAGGGTTTTACGTTTTTTCTCATGCCAGAACATTATATTGTTCTCACGAAGAACCCTACAGTGCGGAAAAGTCTATAGTAATGGAATTTGACGATAATCAGTCAGTAAAACTAGAAAATAGCGAAAATGCTCTTGAGAAAAAAGTCGAAATGAATGACAAAAAAGTAGCGGAACAAGCCATTGTAACAAAAATAACTTCAAAAAACAATAATAAAACAACTGCTGTCGCAAAGCCAGGTGGAATTGAAATTGAATTAAGCGACGCTGAAATTAATTTAATTATAAAAGAAAGAGCGAAAAACAAAGCAGAAAAGAAAGGACTAACACTTCAAACAGAAAAATTAGATAAAATGGTAAATTACATTGCCCAAAATTTTAAAACAGTGGACAACACAATTATTCTAAAACCAGTAAAATTGGATCAGGTTACAAGAAACAAAAGGGAATTGAAACAAAAATATGACACTACGAAAAAACGTGATATAAACATGGAGTTACTACGAAAGAAGACTAAAGAACCAGATTCTAACAGAAATAAAGCGATTTTGAACGATAGTGATGAAGAATCATCAAAACGATTTCCTCTTCCAAAGAAAATTTATGTTGAAATCGAAGGGGATTTTGATATAAACAAAGATCAGAAAAAGTACGATTTATTTAAACAAAAATTTACCAGCGAATCATCCACTGGCAAAAGAAACGAAAAACTCAAAAATTATTTTAAAGAAAACCCAAATCCAAATCATTCGGTTGTTATTACCCCGGGAATGATAAGGCGAAAAATTAATGAGAATACTGTAAATAACAAGGAACGGAATTTTGAATCATTGGAAGTCGAAGATTCAAGCGAAGAATTTTTTGGATTTTTTGAACAAACGCAACCACGCAGTCGTTTCAGGGGTGCAACGTTTCAGGAACTGGAAGAATTTAATTTCAGTCCCGAAGGAAGAGACTTTTTTAAAAAGGACGATGACATAGAAATATCTTTTTCCGACGAAATCTCACATGGAGTTCATGTAAGTATTATAAGTGGGTAATGTATTTTAAATCCATTAAAATTATATAGATAACGATAATAATTATTCTGATTTCTAGAGAAAAGGAAGCAAAGCCAAAACTGCTGCAAAGATTCGTGAATATTACAAAAACATCGAAGAACTGCGGCAGTCCAAAATTTTCGGACGGTCTCACGTAAACTCAGTTGAAGATTGTGGCATCGACAGTTTCGATTTTAAAGATTTCGATTATTTCAAAAGGTTCAAACGAGATCTCACCGAATATAGCGAAGAAGATATCCAAAAGTACATACAATTTATGAAAGAGCAACTAAAACATATGAGAATCATGCAGAAACAAGCGAGGCTTAGGAAATACACTTCAACTGTTAAAACTCAAAACAGCAATAGCATATCGAAATCGTCTTTGAATTTAACGATGAATTACAATGACATAAGGTCTCCTCCTAAAAACAAAAGACATCACCAGGACAGCATGCAACGTCTTGAGGAAGAAAACGACGATGACATTCTCTTAGGTGAACCACTTAAAATAACAATCGGAAAGCCTTACGAGTCGGACAAAGTTAAAATAAACGAAAAACAGAAAGAAGCGCAAATTCAAATGCTTAAAAATAGACTAATGAGGAAGAAGAAATTGGAAAAGCAATTTGGAAGTATCAAAAACGATCAAAATACTGTAGAAAAGAAAACAGAAAGCAGAAACAACAGTGACTTATCGAACGATGAAGATCGAAGACTTGCCACCAGGAGAACTCTTCTCGACATGTGGAACTCCAATCCGGAAAGAAGGTTCGCCAGGTCGGTGAAACAAACGAAAAGCGATGAGTTATGGAAACAAAACAAATTGTACAAAAGACTGACGCCAATCAAAGAATGGAAACCGCAAGATATAATCAAATTACGCAAGAAAAGTGAAAGAGAAGACAGTTCCAATTGGATCAGCAAACCCACCAACATCCAGTTTCCCAGTAAATCCAATATTGTGCACAAAAGATATAGAAGACAATCAGAAACAAAAGAAATTGATAACGAAATCAAACCTTACTTCGAACTCCCAACGAAACCAAAAAAGAGTAAATGGGACAAAACAGTTATCAAAAAAACAAAATCCAAAAATGACGTTATACCTCTTGTTGAGGAGGAAAATGAAACAACAACTATGTCAAATTTAATTAAGTCGTGGTCATTTTATAATGTTAACGAATTAAGTGATTCAGGTGAACTTTTTCGCCAAAACAACACACAAACAAATGAAAAGGATGAACAAGTGAAAGTCTTTGTGTTCACTGAAGACAGCAGAAAGTATAAGTTGGAAAGTGACGACGATTCAAAATTCACAAAGAACAATACAAAACAAAATTCCACCCATCAGTTGGAGAAAAACGAAAAAAAAATTGACAAACAATTTAAAAGCGCGAACACTACGACAAATTTCTTTGAAAATATGTTGAACGTTTTTGAATCGTTTTTCGATAAAGTGAGCATTAAGATGTCTGACTACGTCAAGAAAATTAGCGAAACGTTAACACATAATTAAGATAAATATTTGTTTGCTTTTTTGTATTAATTTTAAGAATTTTTATATTTGGCGACGTAAATGAATACGAAAAGTGCAAATTATTTTGTCTTTCATTTTCAGTAATAAATATTTTTATTATTTAAGTGTCTTTAACTTTTTATCTGATCTGCAGACTATTTTTTTTATTATTTCTATTAAACACAAGTTGCTACACATATACAGAAAACGAAAACGAACCAACAAAAAAATAATTTTGCTTCTTTTATATTTATTTTTATTTTATGCCGTAATAGTTGAAACTGTTAATCAATAAAATACTTATAATGGACGATTTTAAGCAGTAATATACAAATAATTGAAAATATTTAGTAACAATACACCAATTAGAAAAAAATAAAACTTTTTCTTTTCTATTTTGTTGCAGGTAGCTTTACGAGGTAAAATCATCTTCAAGAGGGTTGAAATTTCCTCTACAATTTAAAGAAAGGTAAGAAATACTAACAATCAATACAAAATAAAAATTACTTCTTTATTGTTTAACTGTATTTGTGCCTAATATCGAAATATTCGTAATATGTTATTGACTTAAAATATTTCCCAATAATACATCTGTATGTTGAAAATAGTATTTAAAAGGATACACATAATATAAATTATTGAACAACTCTTTAAATAATTTAATAAAAATACTTGGCTGATAATTTAGTAATAATTAAGGACAAGTTTTTACTTTCTTAATGAAC